AAAGAAAGAAGTCCTTTTTTAATTTGCACATAATATGATAATATACATAAGTGACCCCAAAAATTCTACCAAGGAACTCCTATAAACAGCTTTAGTGACATTTATTAACTAAAAAAAAAAAAAAAAATCAGTAGCCCTCCTATACACAAATGACAAACGAGATGAGAAAGAAATCAGGGAAACAACACTCTTCACAATAGCCACAAATAATATAAAATATCTTGGGTTAACTCTAACCAAGCAAGTGAAAGACTTGTATGATAAAAACGTCAAGTCTTTAAGAAAGAAATTGAAGCCAGGCAGTGGTGGCACAAGCTTTTAATCCCAGTACTTGGGAGGCAGAGCTAGGCAGATCTCTGTGAGTTCGAGGCCAGCCTGGTCTACAGGGCAAGATCCAGGACAGGCACAAAAACTACACAGAGAAACCCTGTCTTGAAAAACCAAAAAAAAAAAAAAAAAAAAAAAAAAAAAAAGAAGAAGAAGAAGAAGAAGAATTGAAAGAAAGAAATTGAAGAAGTATCAGAAGATGGAGAGTTCTCCCATGTTCACTGGTAGGATTAACATAGTAAAAATGTCCATCATACCAAAAGCAATATACAGTTTCAACAAAATCCTCATCAAAATTCCAACACAATTCTTTTCAGACCTTGAAAGGATAATACTCAACTTCATATGGAAAAAGAAAAAACCCAGGATAGCAAAAGCAATCCTGTAAAATAGAAGAACTTCCAGAGGTATCACCACCCTTGATTTCAAGCTGTCCTACAGAGCTGCAGTAATAAAAACTGCATGGTATTGGCATAAAAACAGACAGATTGATCAATGGAATTGAATCAAAGACCAGATACCTCTGGACACCTGATTTTTGATAAAGAAGCCAGAAATACACAATGGAAGAAAGAAAGCATCTTTAACAAATGGTGCTGGTTTAACTGGATGTCAGCCTGCAGAAAAAAAATTCAAATAGATTTGTATCTATCACCCTGCACAAAACTCAAGTCCAAGTGGATCAGCCAGATACACTGAACCTAACAGAAAAGAAAGTGGGGAATAGCCTTGAATGCATTGGCACAGGAGACAATTTCCTGAACAGAACACCAATAGCACAGGTACTAAGAACAACAATCAATCAATGGGATCTCATGAAACTGAAAAGCTTCTCTAAGGCAAAGGACATTGTCATTTGGACAAAGCAGCAGCCTACAGACTGGGAAAAGATTTTCACCAACTCCACATCTGACAGAGGGATAATATCCAAACAATATAAGGAACTCAAGAAACTAGACATCAAAAAACCAAATAATCCAATTAAAAATGGGGTACAGATATAAACACAGAATTCTGAATAGAAGAATCTCAAATGGCTGAGAAACACTTAAAGTAGTGTTCCACATCCTTAGCAATCAGGGAAATGCAAATCAAAACAACTGAGATTCCATCTTATACCTGTTAGAATGGCTAAGATAAAAAACACAAGTGGCAGCTCATGCTAGAGAGAATGTGGAGCAAGGGGAACACTCCTCTATTGCTGGTGGGAGTGCAAACTTGTGCAGCCACTACGGAAATCAATATGCCGCTTCCTAAGAAAATTGGGAATCAATCTACCTCAAGATAAAGCTATAGCATGGGCATATATCCAAAGGACACTCTGTTCTACCACAAGGGCACTCACTCAACTATGTTTGTAGCACCTTTATTCATAATAATCAGAAACTAGAAACAACCTAGATATCCTTCAACTGAAGAATAAAGAAAATGTGGTTCATTTACACAATGGAGCATTTACTCAGCTGTTAAAAACAATGACATCATGAAATTTGCAGGCAAATGGATGGAACTAGAAAAAGTCATCCTGAGTGAGGTAGCCCAGACCCAGAAAGACAAACATGGTATGTACTCACCTATAAGTGGATATTAGCTGTAAAGTAAAGGATAATCATGCTGCAATTCACAGACCCAGAGAGGCTAGATAACAAGGAAGGTCTCCCTGGGAAGGGATTTTGTGGGTGACTGGGGATGGGAACAAGAGGGATCAGGTGGTGTGTGTGTGTGTGGGGGAATGCAGGGAGAAAGTCCTGGGAGAGACAACTGGAATTGGGGGGTACTTGGGAGGTGATGTGGAAACATAGTGCTGTGGGAACTTCCTGGAATCTATGAGAGTGATCCTAGCAAAGACTCCTAGTAATGGGAGATACAGAGACTGAACCAGCCATCTTCTACAGCCAGGCAAGCCTTCTGGCAGTGGGACTGGGACAACCCAGCCACAAAACCTTCAACTTACAATCTGCCTGCAAGATGTGCTGGGGTAATGGTGTCACAGAATTTGTGGGAGCAGCCATCTCATGACTAACCCAATGAGAGGCCCATGCCACAAGAGAGAGCTAATTCTTGACACTGTCTGGATGGCCAGGATCTAAAGGCTGGATAACTCAGAGACTCAGGATAGAACCAAAGATGACTGGGGAAAAATTCAACGAAATGATTCCTAATGATGTTCTGCTATACTCATAGATCGGTGCCTAGCCCAATTGTCATCAGAGAGGTGTCAAACAGCAACCAATGGAAACCAATACAGAGACCCACAGCCAAACACTAGCAGGAGTCGGGGGAAACCCACAGAGGAAGGGAGGGAGGAAGGACTGTAGGAGCCAGAGGGGTCGAGGACACCAGGAGAACACCATCCACAGAATCAACTAAGCAGGGCTTATAGGGGCTCAGAGAAACTGAAGCAACAGTCACGGAGCCAGGATGGGCCTGAGATAGGTTCTCTGCATCTATGTTATGGATGTTTAGCTTGGTGTTCTTGTGGGACCCCAACAGTGGGAGTGGGGGAGATCCCTGACTCTTTTGACTGCTCTTGGGACCCTTTTTCTCCTACTGGGTTGCCTCGTCCAGCCTTGATATGGATATGAGGGTTTGTGCTTAGTGTTATTGTAACTTGTTATGCCATGTTTGGTTGATATCCTTGAGAGGCCTGCTCTTTTTTGAAGCGAAACTGAGGAAGAGTCAATCTGGGGGAGAGGGAAAGGGGAGACAACTGGGAATAGTGGAGGGAGAGGAAATCATGGTTGAGATGTAATGTATGAGAGAAGAAAAAACATCTGTAAGTGGTGCCCAATGTGGGGCATGAACCCATGACCCTGAGATTAAGAGTCTCATGCTCTACCGACTGAGTTAGTTGGCGGGACCTGGAGAGAAAACTCCAGCTACATGTATATTTTAAAAAAACAACAAGTTTTTTCCCCTTTCTATTTGAAAAAGTCAGTCTGAGCACCACTGACATGAAGGATCTGACACATCCTCCTTGGTAACTATCAATAAACACAATGCCTAAGACTCAAAGCCCTCCTAACTGTTGGAAATAATTTGATATTTCACTTTTAACTTTAGCCAGAGCAGAAAAGAAATCTGCTACATTTGCACCAAAATTAGCACTTAAGACCTGCATCCTGAACACCTCCAGCCTGTGGGAGAGTTTAAGCTCAGCAAATGATCAAGCTGCCAGTTTGGGTTTGGCGGAGCTAACCTTTGGCATACTTCTCTTGGTAAAGTTTAACTTTTGTTGACTAGTCTTACTAACTGAATTTTGACTTTTGCTACATAAGTTATTTCTTTGCTGCTTCTTGAATTCCCAAGAGAGGCAGATATAAGATGAGCTCTGTAAGAGCTGTGAAAAGCTTGCCAGAGGCTCCAGAGGCCAGGAAAGTTATCCTGGGATAGTTCTTCAAGACTACACACTCTGCTGCCTAGCTCTTATTGTGCTTATATGTATATATTTGAGACAGGGTCTCACTACGCAGCCTTGGCTGGCTGCTGTGGATGATTGATTGATAAATAAAACACTGATTGGCCAGTAGCCAGGCAGGAAGTATAGGCGGGACTAGCAGAGAGGAGAATTGAGAGAACAGGGAGACAGAGAGGAGGAGATGCCAGCCTGCCATCCAGAGAGCATCATGTAAAGGCAACAGGAACACATGGCAGGTGACACATGGATTAACAAAAATGGGCTGAGTATAAGAGTAAGAGCTAGACAATGGGTAGGCCTGAGCTAATGGCCGAGCAGTTTAAATAATATAAGAGTCAGTGTGTTTATTTTATAAGTGGGCTCTGGGACTGCCGGGAATTGGCGGGATCTGGAGAGAAAACCTCTAGCTACAGCTGGCCTTGAACTCACTGTGTAGAGCAGGCTTTCCTTGACTTCAGAGATCCACCACAGGCGTGTGCCACCATCCCCAGCATCTGAAGGTGTTTTTGAAACGGACTTTGAAGTGCTGCAAAACCTAACCTAACTCTTCTGGTGAGCAAAGAGCTCGAGTATGAGGGGTGAGCGGAGAAACGGAAACACATTCTACCAAGATTGAGACTTATTAGAACTCAAGGGAAAGAAAGGAAGGAAGGGGAAAGAGGAAAGGGAGGAAGAAAGAACGGAGTGATTTCCTGGTATGAAGGCATAGGCCTTTAATCCCAGCTCCTGGGAGGCAGAGGCAGGCCAATCTCTGGGGATTCAGGGCTTCCTGGCCTACATAGTGAGTTCCAGTATGGTCAGGGCTACAGAGAGAAACCTTAAAATAAATGACATAAAATAAAATAAAATGGGAAAGAATAGGGAGGCAGGGAAGGGAGGAAGGATGTCCTATAGTTATGGAGTTCCAGCCTCACATAGGGGAAGATCAGGTGTTGAGTATCTTTTCTTAAGAAAAAAAATGATCAGGATGAGTCAACGGCTTTCTGCTTAGAGAAACCCAGGATCCCTGGCAGACAGAACAATCCTGAGACCTTGGTAGACCTCTCTCTTCCCAATGGCCAAGGTCTCAGATGCCATTCCCAACTTCCATACGGGTGCTGTGACCTGGGTAGATCCTAGGATACACTGTCACTGCTAGTGAAGAGACAGAGAAACCTCCCAGTGCCCAGATGCATCTCCAGTGTATAAGGAATGACGCAGGAACCATGGTCTTTCTCAGGGAAGAAGCTGAGGCCCTAGGCAGGTGAGCACTTACATTCTAGCTTATCCTGAGGTCTCCCCGTCTCCAGCAGGGACAAATAACACACGACGTCCTTCAGGTACACCACGGGAGCATCTGAGCTTGAAGACAGAGCATCAGGATCTTCCCACAGGGTTAGAGCCTCTAGGGCTTTAGGCATTGCTTGTGTCTCAGCCATTTTTGATTCTGAAAGACAGATGGGGGGGGGCATCCAAGGACCTCCACGTTAGTAAACATTAACCCTCCTTACGGTCCCATCCTCTTCACGGTTGAGGTGAGAATACTCTACAGGTGTCTTAAAAATGTAATTACTGCATATTATGTAGTGTGGCCATAGACATCCAGGCTGTAGTTATTTTCTAAGAATGACTTCAATTTTGATCCATTTAGGAGTCTATTTCCTTGCAGAAAGTTTATCCATTCTCTGAATTTTCAGGAAAGAAAACAGTGAATCCTGGTGATAACCAGATAAATTATCACTTAACATACCGCTCTAAATACTTAATTTGCAGAAGTAATTGTAGATGGGGTTTCACCACATTTATGCCCTTTCTTAGTGGGGAGCTGAGGAAGGCTTGAGTGAATGTGATGCCCTCCGTGGATATATGCTGTTGACTGACTTGAACCAGTCAAGGACCAATGCCTCAGACTCATGGGAGTGCAAAGCCTTCCCCAGATGAGGCTCAGCGAGATGGCAAAGCCTTCCTCTGGTTCACATATGGATGTTGATAGTGTGTGCAGAAAACGTTCACTGTGGTCCCCCCACTGTATTTACCTCTTGAAGATTGCCCCCTACAGTGAGTATGTCCACTGAGTTAGTGAAACCTGTCTCCTTGTTCAGCTGGTGTAATGAACCCACCCCCTTGATCAGCTGGTGGGCAATGACCCCGCCTCTTTGTTCAACTGCATCTAATAAACACTTTGCTAAGCTTCCAGGGTGCTGCAGCTTCTCCGTCAGAGCCTGGACCGCCGAATCCCAGCTTTTCTGCATCCCTGTGGCTGTCATTCCTTCTTGCCCTCACTGTCCCAGGTAGGTCAGTCCCTAGAGCCATGCAAGGATGTGGTAGCTCATAATTTTCATCTGCAAATATACTTAATGACAAACGAAGAGATTGCTATCCAAAAGAAAAACCCTACTGACAATCATCCCATTTCAGAAACTGGGAAACTTTAACTATTTGGTAAGAAAATGCACAAAGTGACTTGCTGTATGCTCCATGAGGAAAAAGCACCCCCCCTCCCCCGCAACCACACACACTGTCTCCTAGTTCAGAAATACAAAATTTATTGTCAATAAGGACATTGGGAGTTTTAGTTCACTATGTGAATTCTATTTTCTGAGGTACTTTGTTCTTTCTCTCCTCAGCTTTGGCTGCTTTCATACCCATGAGGACTCTTTTCATAACCAGTACGATGTACACCACACGGACACGACTGACCCATGGGCTACACAGAACACTGCCGGTGGGCAAGCCAATGGAGGCACCATGATGCCAATAAGCAGTGTGTGCTGCCGACATGGACAGAGGCGGAGGCAGCCTCAATTGAGATCGCAATGCCTGCTGGGGAAGGCAGGATTACCTCATACTATTCGAGAACCAAAGAGCCACATAATAGGAGAAAGCGCCAGGACAGCGGAGCTGAGAGAGAAGGCCCGCCCAGTCCTGCCTCGTGGGCTGCCAGTTACAAAGGAGTGAGCTGTCATTCAGACTGACGGCAGCGAGATGAGAGGTCCCTGTGTGTTACAGAGGGCCCGTGAAGAGACCCCGATGGAGCCTACAAAACACAGAAAGGAAGACAGAAAGATCGAAGAGAGGAAGCTTCACTCAGAAGTCTCACAGGGCCAGAGGTTTAAAGGTAATTTTCTATAGGACAAGACACTGGAGCTGAAAGAAAGTATGGCCTCTATTAAGGGCAGAAAGCCTCAGAGGTGAGCAGTAGAGATAAAAATAGTGTGAAGGAGGTAACAACAGAAGTAGTGAGTTGGGGGCATTGAGATGAAATTACTTATGCAACCAAACTATTAAAATCATCCCTGGAAGAAATGCCATGGAAATTCATCACAACAATGTGGTAAACAAATGAGAACATGGTCCTTTGTACTACAGAGTCCCTAAGGCCACAAGCCATTGCTGTGTGCTCAGGTTACTCATCCATTAAAACACCCGCCATGACTTCCACTTTGTCTTTAACTCAGAGCAACACAGGACCAGACGTATTGTCCCACCCGACTCAACTAGTACCTGGTCAGAAGATATGGAGCAAATGTTCAGAGGACGTTATATTTCAAATAGGGCCTGGAGAAAATGGGAGCCAAGAGAGAGGTGAGATGCCCCCTAGCATCTTAGCATTTGGAAGGAGTTTCCAAGTTGTACCAGAAGAGGGAGGGGCACTCTGGCAGATCCTGGCATTCTCCGTGAGTTGAGGACAAGGTGGGAGCCTGGAGTGGAGGTTGAGGAGCCACACAGACAGAAACACAGAGACACCTACAAGGCTCCTTTATTGCGGGTGGAGTCACCTTCAGTTCTACAGCTGAGTGGGGATTGTCCCTCCCTGGGGAGGAAACTGCCTGAGGCTGGGCAATGGGGGTGGTCATGGTTGGGATGGGGGTAGGGGAAGAAGCAGGACCAGAGGGACAAACTCTGGGATGGAAAGAAAAGTCCCATTGATGAGAATAAGCATCCACATGTTATGAGAATCCACATGTTCCCAATAGAGGACCCAAAAGAACTCTGCCTCAGCAGTGAGGCAGCATCAGCTCTGGATGTTCAATGGTATGTGAACACTTGTGACTATTTCCAGGTAATCTCATTTTACCCTAAAACAGCATAAGGATATTTGCTGAAATGCAAAAACAGCCTGTACTCAGCATTAAAGAAGAGCTGATAAGGGTTCTATACAAATTCTCCCAGAAAACTTAAGGGATAAGAATCCTGCCTAACCCGTTTAAAAAGAGCGGCCTTGCTGCAAGGCCCAAACCAAAGACATCATAAGAGGGTGCGTGTCAGCAGGCTTCACGGACAGGGATGCAGACGCTGCACAGTGTTAACTTAATATTCTAAGTAGAAGTTAGCAGAGACTTAAATGAAGGGACACTGTGTCAAAGGATTAGACCCAGGGCATTAAGATACCAGTGTTTTCTGATCATGAGTTCAGCAGATTTCTAAGATGAAATAGCAAAGATCAGTCATAAACTAAAAAACCACATTGAATTGTATTTCATGAAAATTAAGAAACTTTGGAGATAGGGTTAAGAGCATTTCTTGCTCCTGCAGAGGACTCAGGTTCAATTCCCAGCACCCACAAATGGTGACTCACAACCACCACTACTCCAGTTGTAGATCTGATGCCCTCTTCTGACCTCCATAGGCACCAGGCATGAACGTGGTGCACACACATACATGCAGGCAAAACATCCATACACACACAATTCACATAAAGTAAAATAAATAATTCTTTTTTTTTTTGTTTTGTTTTGTTTGGTTTTTCGAGACAGGGTTTCTCCGTGTAGCCTTGGTTGTCCTAGAACTCTCATTTTAGATCAGGCTGGCTTTAAACTCACAGAGCCAATACTTCTTTTAAAAATTAAGAAATTTTTGTCTTCCAAAGACCCTGTTAGGGGCATGGGAGAGGATCAGTGGGTAATAGAAAAGATTTGAACGTTTCTGTAAAGGATGATTCACAGACGACCATTGGTCTACTGAGCACACGGCGGGACGTCACCGGGCAAACGCAAACCCAGGCAGTGAGAGGCCACCCTCCGTGTATTAGAGGAATGAGAAATGCAGAGGCCGACAAGGACCGAGCAGCAGGGGCCTTTGGGCAGCCAGGCGGGTAAAGGGCCCAATGGTCCTGGAAAAGAGCTTGGCAATTTCCTAGAAACGGAAATGTGCACAGCGCCACCAGTTACATTATATCTGCTATGTGCCTGCTACATTATATCTGGTATCCCATTCCAAGGTGTTTGCCCAAGGGGAGTGAAAGTTCTCCCGACAAAGGCTTATAAAAGAATACTTACAACAAGTTTTCTTTTTTTGTAATAAAACCCAAATGGAAGCTGTACAAAAATCCCTGTCTCAAGAAATGGAATAATTACGGAAACCCTGTTAGTATACTAATTAACAACCAAAATATGTTGACAATTAATATACACAAATGGTTAAATATCAAAATGATTATGCCTCCTAACAAAAGAAGTAAGAGCTAAGAAAGGAAATATTGCATGATGCTGTTCACAGAGAGTCCAGATGGTGCAGCGACCTTCCTGGTAACAGAAGGCAGATCACAGAGTGCTTGAAGGCAGATCACAGAGTGCTTGGAGTGGGCAGGGCTGGAGAAAAGACCCACCAAGAAATCTTTCATAGATGGAGGATGTGCTCATTCTCTTGGTGTGCTGCTGGCTTCTACAGATGCACGCATACCTCAAAAGTTTTCAATTTTATAATACAAACGTGTATAGTTTATTTTCTGCCAACTACAGTTCAACTGAGCTGTGTAAGAATATTACTTTTTCCTGAAGATGGTCCAGTCACTCGAGTTCTGGGTGGATCATGAGTTCTAGTTCATAACCAGGTTTAGTTTACTCCTGCATTACTGTCCTTCCTTCTCATGCTCTTACATATGAAATACCCAAACCTCCAGTCATCAAAATACATCTCCCGGTGACTGAAGACAAATGGCCTCTTCTGTACCACATCAGCTCTCATCCAGTGCCCGGCTGTAAGCCCCTTCCCTGAAGGTGGGGTGTGCCTGCCCATTCTGCCTTTGCACATAGTCTCTGCAGTACTTGTTGACTTCCAGCGGGGCAGTGTGGCAGAGTGGAGAGTTTGGGGACTCTAGCTCTGGGTTTGCACTAAATGGAGTGTGACTTGCTCAGGTGGGCTTATTCGCCAGGCTCAACCTATTTCTGTTTAAACCCATTAAAAGAGGTCATTACATTAAAACTGAGGTTCACCCCAAGTCTTAAATGACAGGGATGTTTGTAATGATAATGTTAAGTGAAAAACAAATCTAACTCCAAAATTAAATATGGTTTGATCCCAATTATGTAAGAAACCTATTGAAAAAAAACTACAAGATCATACACATTTAACTGTAAGTATGATTGGGTTCAATTTTCTCTTTTAAAGATAAAATTTGTTAAAGAGCAGTTCAGGGTTATAGCAAAACTAGTAAAGGTACAGAGATTTCATTCACACATGCTGTGGTCCCCCAGGTACGTAGCTACCTTCACAATCAACATGCCACAGAGAGTTCTGTATTTGTCATAACTGGTGGCCCTACATTGGCGCGTCACTGTCACACACAGCCTGCAGCCCACAGCAGTGGTCACATGGGGACTGTGTGTCCCGTGGGTGTGAACAAGGATTTGGACACACGTCCATCATTGTAATGTTGTGCAGAGGAATCTCGTCACCCTGCAGTTCCTCTGGGCTTGGCTGTTCGTCTCTTTGTCCTGGACTCAGACAACCACCAATCTTCATTATCTTTATTGTTTGTTGTTTCTTTGGGGGGCTTAGGGGTTACTCTTCAAATTGTCTACAGTGTGAGTATACTTTTATAACTGGAAAGACTGAAAAAGCAGGGTATTTCCTTCAGATATTCAATACTGTGGGTGGCTGAAAAATCTCAACAGGTTAAGAAACGAAGTAAAACCCCAAGGACCCAAATTCTTCCTTTTCCTATTGTGAGCTGACATGTCAGTGACTCTGGAGGGCTTTGGGTCAGTACGTGCACTCTGTGAAAGACCCTTTCTTCTGCCCTGCTCTGGGAAGGAATGCCTTGAGGTGGGCTGTGCTACATCTGAGCATAGGAAGGTATGATTGGTGGAGGCCATGTCAGTCAGAATCTAGCATCTTCCGGTGTCTACAGGAAAAGGCTGACATTTTTCCAGAGATGGCCAGATCACAAATGAGTACAGGACTTGCCTCATGTAGGAAGGGGCTCCCTGTGAAGCCTTTTTCTAGTCCTAATTCTTTTTTCTTTTTGTAAACAGGGGCATTAATCCATCTATTGAAGGAAACCTATCAGAAAATGGATTATTTCTTAAATCCCCAGTTTAAAAAAATATGAAAAAAATGAAATATCTCCCCGGGCCCCAACTCAGATAATTGCCTTTTCATGATTTAACCCACACGGCTTGGTGTTTTTCTTCACCATAAGCAGACAAAACGGTGTATGACAAATCACTTCTCCAGGAGGAAGTCTGTGGAAGTTTCTCTTGGAGGCTCAGAATGATAGAGCCACTGTGAGTGAGCAGGGCCATATCCACCTGTCCTCAAATGTCTCACGACCTCCCCTCTGTGATTTCTTCGATGCTTTCTCCTCAGCCACCAACACAAACGCTGTTCACGTCATTTTGGGCCTTAAGACATGAAATGCAATCGAAGGTTTCTCTGGAAGTTCCAAGTGCCTGGGTGAGAATTTGGGGCTGGAAGTTTAAAAACTTGCCCTTTCCTCCCTGTGGGAGAAGGTTTTCTGTCAGAATTTGATCTGCTACTCCATATGAGATGTAGGACTAATTTCACCAGAGGCCCTGGACTAGTGGAGTTAGTTGAAGAGGTGCTGGCAGGAGAGAGTGAGCCAACGACCTTGAAAAGTCTTCTCCTCCAGCTATCACCAAAGGCATCGGGAAGGCCCGGGTTCCCTTCATCCTTGCTTTCTGGAGCTCCACAAGCTGCCTCGATAGCCTTCTCTTTCCAAAGCATGTTCTGAGTTCCATGTAGTGTTAATTTTCTCTTCTCCCTCTCTCTGGTCTCTCACCCTCTCCCTCTCCCTCTTTCCTATTCCTCTCACTCTCTCCTACCTCTTAAAAGAGATTTACTTTTATTATTTTCAGTTATGTATAGTGTGTGTGTGTCTGTATGTGGATATGCGCTCATGAGTATGTGTGTCCGATCTGGCCTCTGATCCCCTGGAGCCAGGTTACAGCCACCAGATATGGGTGGTGGAAGTGAACTCAGGTCCTCTAGAAGAGCAGCAAGTGCTCTTAACAGCTGAGCCATCTCGGTGGTCCCTTGCTTTTCTTTTTAGGTGAAATCTCCATGTGGCTTAGTCTGGCCTTGAACTCATGGACTCAAGTGATCTTCTCACCTCTGCTTCCTGGGAAGTTGGACTTCCAGCATCTATTTTATTACACACACACACACACACACACACACACACACACACACACACACACACACATATACACCATGGCATCCAGCTCCATAGTGAATTTAAAAACAACGACAAACCCCAACTAACTAACTTACCAATCCTGCCAAACACTGCAAGCCCCATAATGCTTCTAGTGTCCCTCTTGGGAAAGAAAAAGAAAAAGCTCAGGATTACAGCTAGTGTCCAGTTGAAGAGGCTCTCATGCCAGGTCTCTCCTGAAATTGTTTCTGTTCTCTTGTAGCTGTGGTTCCTCTCACCTACTTCACCTGACACATGTTAAAAATAGGATGGGACTGCATTCTTTACCCTCAGTGCTCATCCCAAGAGCTGGAGTTCACCTTTGTGTGTGTGTAAATGGTTTCAACAATAGGATCCTGTGCATAGATCCTTGGAGGGAATGCCTCTCTGAGTCTTTGTGTTTGAAACCTAAGAGCAAAGTGCATAGTCCACAAGTGACTTCCTGTCAGAACAGGACGCCAAGGAGACCCGTCAAGCCTGCCAGGAGACTGAGACTCAAGGAATAGTCTGGCTGACTGTAATGAGCTAAGGGGAGAATGTTCATCTAGAGTGTGGTACAACACTAACTGCTGATATTATTGAACATTTACTATGGGCCAGGCACTATTCTAAGCCTTTGGATAGTTGCTAACCCATTCAACCCACATAACAATACTCATTATCATCTCGCTTTACAGAGGGGACAGCAAAACACAGACATTGCTCAAACAGGCCCACAGCTATCTTCTAGGTACTGTCAGCTGGGAATGAGGTCCACATTCTTAACCAACATGTTCTATTGCCTTCAGTTCAGATGGGGAGGGACAAGGACATGTTCATTGGACATGAAAACCAATGTCAAGGATGGAGAGTGTTGCCCCCTCCAGTACCTGGGTTTGTCAAGAGCACACAGAAATGGCTTCTCACTTATAAACGTGTCAGGAAAGAATCCAGATCGGCTGCACCAGAGGTGGGTCAATGGACCACAGGTGCTGCAGCAGCTCCACCAGGGACTAACTAAAATGGCACCTTTGAAAGGAGCAGACCGCCTGGCTCCTTGGCTTCCTCACTCTGGGCAGAAAGAGAGCAGAGATTCGAGGTTGCACAAGTCTGGATTGAATCCCCAGCCCCACAACGGTCTCCTTGGCTCCATTGTGTGAAGCAGTGTAAATTCGAAGGTCAGAAGGAAATGAAATAAGCAGGTACCTAGAAAACAGATCTTTAAAACGGATTTTTTGCTGGCTTCTTTTGGCAATTACTAGAAACTCTGCAACTTGTTCAAAAATGACACGGATATTTCTGTTTTAAAATTAAAATTTAATTCAATTTTATGTGTGTGGATGTTTTTTTCTGCACATATATCTGTGTACCGTTTGCATGCCTGGTGCCTACGGAGGCAAGAAGAGGGCATCAGGCAGTCACAGACTATCGTGAACTACTACTCGGGTGCTGGGATTCCAACCCGAGTCCTTTGCAAGAGCAGCTAGTGCTCTTAACTGCTGGGTCATCTCTCCAGCCCCTCATGAGCGTTGTTTGTTGGCCCATCAGGACATACGCTTACACACTTGCTCTACTCACTCCAGTTGTCTATTGGTAGAATGTGGAATCAGGTACGCTTCGGCCTGAGAGCCAGATCTTGGCACACCGACTCCCATCTACTCCCACACCTCCTGTGAAGGCTCCTCCTCATCCCTTGCACAAAACTTATCAGAAGTAAATATCTGGTAACCTGTCCCAAGCCTTGACCTCCTCTGTTCTAGACAAGGGAGGTAAGAACCTTTAATGAGCCTTAGAATCCATCAGTTATATGGATAAATAACCCAGCTGGCCAACTAGTTCCTTCTCCACCCCTGTGGTGGTTTGGCTAGGACTGGCCCCCATAGACTCACAGGGAGTGGCACTATTAGGAGGTGTGGCCTTGTTGGAGGAAGTGTGCCATTGTAGGGGCAGGCTTTGAGGTTTCATATGCTCAAGCTATGCTCAGTGTGGGACACAGTCTCCTTCTGCTGCCTGTGGATCAAGATATAGAACTCTCAGCTCCTTCTTCAGTATCATGTCTGCTTGCATGCTGCCATGCTTCTCTGTGGTGATATTTTATTTGTGCTGAAATGTGATATTTTATTTGTATGTTAATAAATAAAGTTTGCCCAGAGATCAGAGGTCATAGCAAGCCATAAACAGAAGTCAGGCAGTGGTAGCACACGCCCTTAATCTGATCACATGGCAGTCAGAGTCTCTGGGTGTTCAAGGGCACAGTCAAGCATGGTGACATGAGCCTTTAATCCCAGTACCAACCATAGAGACTAGAGGTCTGTATAGACAGGCAGTGATGAGGAAGTGATGTGGCTGGGATTAGAGCCAATGAGAAGGCAGAACAGGAAGACAATAAAGGCGCAGGTTAGACAGGAAGAAGCTCTCTCTTGGGAAGCTACAGCGAGGTGGTAAGCTAAGGTTTGTTGGTGGCTATCGCTCTGATCTCTATGGCTTGCACCTCTGTATTTGGCTCTGTGTTTCTTATTTAATAAGACTGTTTAGAAATTCGTCTACACTTCTCACCATGATGATAATGGGCTGAACCTCTGAACTGTAAGCCAGCCCAATGAAATGTTTTCCTTTATAAGAGTTGTCATGGTCATGGTGTCTCTTCGCAGCAAGAGAAACCCTACTAAGACATCCCCCAAATCTCATGTCCAGTGTCTTACCAGTGTCTGGAGCGCAGGCCTCATCTGCTTTGGCAGCATTATCCGCATTATAATCTAGGGAACAAAAAGAAGATGTAAAGGCCAGTCCACGCCCTCCGGACCCTTCGAGGGGCATGCAGCGAACTTCCTGTGGGCTCTGGTTCATGTAGGTTATGTTTGTGTTCTACAATTATTATCAGCTTGGCTCCTGCTCTCTGAAACTCCAGTAAGACAGTGGCCATGACTTCCTTTCCTCTGACAGTCCCTGGTTAGTTCTAGCTGGGATGTGTGCTGAATGTCTCTAATCATGGACTAAAGCCCTCTTGGAAGGCTCTTATTTTTCTACCACGTGTTAGTTTGTGTCCCCTCTTGCCCCATCCTATCCTCTGACCCTGAGTGACAGACTCACCCCCTTTTTATTCCTCTTGCTGAAGGACTCACCAGATACATGTTCCTGTGAGGGTCTAGAAAGAGAGGAGTCCCTGGCTCTCGGTCTCCCTCCCACTTCCTCCTTACAGAAGTTACTGTGCTCAGGTTCCCCTCTAGTGTGCTGCCTGTGCCTGTGGCCAGGGGTTACAGCTGATCGGCATCCTCCCATCTTGGGAAAAGCTGGTCCTTGTACCTGAGATATTGGGTTCACTACTGCTGGCCCCCTCCTTTGGGTGGTCAGGTGTCTCCTGTCTGGGCTTCTGGCTGAAGGCCAGGAAGAGGTGTGTGCTCAGTGGCTGGGGAAGGTCCACCTCCAGGTATGCCCTCATGAACAGCTTGAAGACGTCATAGCTAATGGGCTGAGAAGGGCAAGAAGAGAGAAGTCAATAGAGGGAAGGGACAGGATGGAGAAGGAAAGGGGGCAGGCGATGGCAGGAGAGACAGGTGAAGCAGAAGTGACGGAGGTGAAGGGTTTGGTGGTGGCAGGAATGAAAAGGCCAGGAGGAGACAGAGAATCAGGGGGAAAGGGGATGGGACACAGACAGAAAACACAGTGGCTGACCATCAGGCACAGAGTAGGCTTTTGTAGTAAGGTATAGTTTCGCCTAAATTTGGACTAAAAGTAGGGGTGATTGATATACTCTCCAAGGCTCAGAGACTTCTGTGAAAGAAGGGGTAGATAGATTGTGAGTGACAGATGTTGGGATGGACCCGGATGGACCCAAGTGAAACAATGCTTTCCCTACATTACAGGATGGCTACGCTCATTTACTCAGCCGTTGTGGTTGCCTGCACAAGGTCTGCATAGGCTCAAGCCAGTTAACATTACACCATGGAAAGGAGATGGGCTTATGCCTCCTCACTGCTAGCTGAGGAGCTATGGGCAGTTGTTGACTTGTGGGAAAGAGTCAGGTTTCATCAAGGGTGTGGTCCCTGGTAGGTCTACCAGGCTTCAGTGGACGGGCCTACACACATGCGTATGTGGGCAGCAAAGCCAGACTCTGGGTCTGTCAACCAGAAGAGGTCACTTATGTTGGAACGGTGTGAGAGGAGTAGGTGGTGAATACGATTGAAACACATTATGTGTAAGTATGAAATTATCAAAGGATTCAAGGCAGCATGTACAAAAAGTGGGATTCATGGTGAGCTCTAGAGATCTGCCTTTGTCCAGGCTCATGTGAAGGTCATGGATCTACGGAGCTGGACTCAGTCACTGCTCTGAAATTCTGGTGATAATGAAGAAGGATGCAGAAGAAAATAGTATGGAAAGAAAGGTTCTTTTGTGATTATCATGATTTCTCTGATTCTTGAGTCCAGATCTCAGAAAGTAGGAGAGATTGGGGAAGAAGGAACAGGCTCCCTCCCACAATGCTTTCATAATGTTCATCTTCTCTAGCCAGCTCCTAAGATGAACGGAAATTGTGTGTGTTTGGCTCAGCCATATCTCAAAACATGCCATTGTGAAGGCTTTAGGCATCAAGGAAAGCAGGAAGCTAAGGACAGAAGGGAGAACCAAGGGGTATGCCAAAAACTAGACCCTGTCCCTGTTGTGTTTTTCTCGATACCACCTGGCATCTGGTCCCAGGCTTTGAGCATCCATTGCCAGAAAGAGCTGCCGCCCTCAGCAAACGTCCACTAACAATAACAACAACAGTTCGCGGTGAGTCATCTCTGGCGTGTGCTTTCATGGTGTTGGAGCCTCATCAAATCACAGACGCTCCTGGCAACCATGTGAAGAAGCGCCGCCCCAAGAGCTGCTGTGCTGACCTCCGTGAATAGTAACAACCAGGAGAATAGAATCCTTTTCGGGAAACCTACTCGGTGCTCTCTGGAAAATGCTGATAGCATTTAACCCCTTTCATGTTCTGGGGGTTTGGCAAGCCTTCCCAGAGTCAGGAGCCGACTTGAATGTGTAGAGTCAGGTGTGAGCTCCATTGGGAACTCAGAACCAATCTCCGCTAAGTCCTGGGCTTGTCCTAGGGATCTCTTTTGCAGCGTGGAAGAAGCCTGATGCAACTGGACACAGACCGTTTATACTCATTTATTTATTTAATTTCCAGATGAAAAGGACCCAGCACACGGCTGATTGACATTTACAGTGACATCCCTCCTGCGCTCTGTGCCCCTTTTCTGTCCCAAGTCTCTGCTTCTCTGCTGTCTCTCTCTGTCTCTACAGTATCATTACCTCAGACTGTCCCTTCTGCTCTTTTCCAGCACACAATGACAGAGTCATTTCATCCCCTTTCCGATGTCACCCATCTACTGCCACCCTTGCTTCTGCCCTCAGTGCCTGTGATGGCATCTTGCTTGTCTTCTACCTGCAAGCACATGCCAAGGGAATCCTTCCCTTCCCCTTAATTTCTCTAGAGACCCCACTGGCCTTCCTTTCTCCTTGAACTCCACGTTATTTGAGTTCCTGCCTCTTGCCTGGGAACCTGCTTCCCTGGAGGTCTCAAGTGCAGTTGTCTCTTCGTTCAGGTTCTCAGCTCAGCTCTCTGAGGAATTTGACCCTTCTTGAAGCTACTTTGCACACTGAGGTTTTATTTTGATGCTCCTCATTCCCTATTTTGGTTCAACTGAGTCTTTGCTAATGATGTTTCTGTTCATTCTTTTATTTCAAAAGCTCCTTTGCATTATCCTTTCATACTATTTTAACTGACAAGTGCTGCTTTAAACTACAGTTTTAAGCTGGCACCAAATGGAAACGATCAGAATGAAATGTTGCTGAAAAAGAAGGTATGAAAAAGAAAGTTTAGCGGCAGGCCATGGAGGGGCACCCCTTTAACCCCAGCACTTGGGAGGCAGACACAGCTGATCTTGGATTTGAAGCCAGCCTGGTGTATGTAGTGAGTTCCAAGACAGCCAGGGCTATGTAGGGAGACCTTGTCACAAAACACAACACAACACAACAAAAGGTCTAGCTAAACAAATTCTAATAGGATGTGGTGGGAAACAACCAACCACCACCACCAACAGAACTAAAGGTGACTGGAGAAGATCCGGCTGAGAAGTGTCAAGCCACCAGTGTGAAGTCCCCAAAAGCAGGCGTCTCGTGTCTAGAAGAGCAGCGGGCTGGGCTGCTTGTGTCTGAGTAAATCTCTCTATATTTGTTTACTTGTTATTAGCATGTAAAAATTAGGTTTCACTCATTATGACATTTTTCTTTCTTTTGTTTTCCTTCCTTCCTTCCTTTTTTTTTTTTGAGACAGGGTTTCTCTGTGGCCCTGACTGTCCTGGAACTTGCTTAGTAGACCAGGCTGGCCTCGAACTCAGATCTGCCTGCCTCTGCCTCTGGAGTGCTGGGATTGAAGGTGTGTGCCACCATACCTGGCTTTTTTCAAATGAAATTAGCTTTTATTGTTTTTCTTTGCTCCTGTTCTCCCCTCATCCCCCATCCTTCCTCTGTGCACTCCCACCCCTCCCTCCTCTCTGCTCTCATGTCACGTGACTCCTTTCACTTTCCTCTACGCTCTTTCTCAATACCTCTTGTCCTCCCCTCATGGTCTCTGATCTGGTTTCATAGTCTATAACCAATCTATAATCCCTTATTTCCACACACACAGAGACACTAAAGTTTGGATCTGAATATGAGAGAGACCATGTGATATTTGTCTTTGTGAGTTTGGGTCACTTCACATAATGTAATATTTTCCAGATCCATCCACTTTCCTATAGATTTCATAATGTCATTTTTCTTTGTAGCCAAGTAAAATTCTATTGTGCATATACACCATGTTTTCATTATCCATTCTTTTGTTGATGGATATCTAGGCTAGTTCTATTCTCTGGCTGTTATGAATAGTGTAACAATAAGAAGCAGAGGCGTGGAAGTCCCTTGGTGTTAGATATGGAGTCCTTTGGGGATACATGCAGGAGTGGCATGGTCAGGCCACCCAACCAAATCCCCGCCCTGGTCTCAGGCATGTGATGCTCTTTCAACTTCAGGGCTACCTTCCACAATGATTAGTGCCGGCCCAGAAGACCTCTAAGCTTCTCAGGCATCCTCCTTAGTTAGGTCCTAATCCTGACTTCCATTTCTGCTAACGCCAATGCCAATATTCCAAACTCAGCTTTGACCTCTCAGTGACCCGGAACTGGTTCTTGTCACTTCATTCTGCAGGACTGGTTCTTTTACAGCACCTGACACACCTAGACCCTTTCTAAGTCCATTTCCCCTTGTGCCTTCACCAGACTCTGACTTCAGTTTCACATGTTTTTAGCCAGACCATTGCAATGCCTCTATTTCTTAGTTTTTTTAAAAAAGATTTATTTTATATTTTGTGCATGAGTGTTTTATCTGCATGTACACATGTGCATCACATGCATGCCTGGTATGTATGGAGGTTATAAGAAGGCATCAGATCTCCTAGAACTGGAGCTATAAGTTACAGATGGCTGGGAAGCACCATGTGGAAACTGGGGATAAAACCTGGGTCCTCTGTAAGAGCAACAAGCCTCTAAACTGCTGACCACCCCTCCAGGCCCTGCAATGCCTCTTGAAGGCATCCCTGCTCCCACTTCCCTCTGGTGCTCCTCCCATCTGCAATACCCAGCCATGTCAGGCTGATTTTTCCAAAGCACAACTGTGAGAAGATTGATTTCCTACTTAAAAAAATTTCCATGGCTTCTAATTGCCCATGGGAGAATTGAGAGCCGCGGATGCATGACTGATCTCCTGTATTATATGAGATAACAGGCATACAGAAACTCGGAGGAACCCAAGGGGGTATAGATAGAAGCTTAAATATGTATTAATATAGAAATAATGTTCCTACAGTCCAGTTAGTCATCATGGGTACTGATGCGCTTTCTGGGACCTTTGGGATTCAGAATCTTCTCTGTAATTCCACTCTGGCCTGCCTAGATGTGGAGTCACTTCAAACTCTCAGTCAGCCCATCTGCCATTTTCTCTTGTTATCTGTTAGGTGAAACTACACATCCTGTCCCCACAGTCCCCTTGTTCTTTCCTGAGCAAGCTCACAACCCACTTCTTTCTTTTCTTTCCTTTTTCTTTTTCTTTTCTCTTCTTTTCTTTCCTTCTTTCCTTCTCTCTCTCTCTCTCTCTCTCTCTCTCTCTCTCTCTCTCTCTCTCTCTCTCTCTCTCTCTCTCTCTCTCTTTCTTTTTTGAGACAGGGTTTCTCTGTGTAGTTTTGGTGCCTGTCCTAGATCTTACTCTGTAGACCAGGCTGGCCTTGAACTCACAGAGATCCGCCTGGCTCTGCCTCCCGAGTGCTGGGGTTAAAGGCGTGTGCCACCACCACCCAGCTCCCACTTCTTTCTTTAACTGCTAAAATTCTAATGCTGCTTTAAAGCTGAATCCAGGTGTCATATCTGCCTGAAACCCATCGGGATTTCCTGCACCCAGATTTCTTTAATTTGCACTCTGGTTCCTGCCTCCTGAAACTCACAGATGCTGTTCTGGATTAACACAGCTAGTTGCTACACTTTCTCAGTCTAGATTCAGAGCTCTTGGATGATAATCAGAATGCCTCATTTCATTTTTGTCTCCTGAACCATTCACCAAAATATTTCCTGATAGACATTTGAGTAGATATTGGCTTCCCAATTGGTACATCAAAGGTATGGCCTGCTGTAGTGCTGGCCACCAGTGGCCCATTCTCTGAGTCAGGCATAGACTCAGTGTTCAGTATATACAGGTAAAGGTATTGAAATGACTGTAATACATGATCAGCAGTGCTGAATGCCACAGGATGAGAACAGGATGTGAGATCTTAGAAAGTAATGATGACCAAATTAATGCCTACTCATTCATGATTCAACTCCAGCATCCTCTGGGAAATGGCCTAGAGTCAACACAGAACATTCAAATCAGAAAATCCCTCAGAGGATCTGGATCTTCTTATGCCACTGATGCTCAGGACATTTGGTCACTTGTCCTAGCCCCGAAGCTGGATCTTTGGATACCTTGTCTGTTACTGTTTCTACCTCAGGTCCCTAGGCTAGTACAGTGCTCCCAGCCATTCCCTCTGAGCACCACAAGTTCAGTGAGCAGGAGAGACTGACGTGTGTCCCTCTGAAAGTGATATATAGGTTAGACGGTTCCTTACAAACACTGTCTGAGAACAGTGACTGCTTACCAAGTGTTAAGTGAGTGACTGGGTAAGCAGGGCTTGAGTAGTATGGCCACCAGCCATTAGGAGGCACACTGGGAAGGACCCATCACCTTCCTCATTACTCATGTGCTCTCCGGAGCTGCAAATCCATGAAGCAACCTGCCAGGCAATTGCTGTTGCTGCAGCCTGTTTTAAGAGGGCCTGTAAATTCTGCTCCAGGTCTAAAAGGGAGGAGAGAAGCTGAAGAAACTACTGTGCCCCGTCATGAGGCAACGGTGCAAGGTAGGAAGGCCTATTACTCACGTCTTAAAGCCTGCTCAAGGTCACCACGCATGCTGCCCAGCTAGAAGCTATGCCCAGTGTGTCTGAGCACCACTAAGCCACCCCCCCTTTTTTGGGGGGGGCTCTGGTGGGCTTTGCCCACTCTCTAGCAGTCACCACTCTTCATCTTTCCAGAGGATCACGCAGTGATGGAGGCAAGGGCATGTTCATCACAGCCAGACCTGCCCCTCTGCAAATTTCCATTCCCACTCCAGTTTCTCCAGCAACCCGTCCCCGCCCGCAGCTCCCTCCTTTCTCACTAAGACATTTTAGCAACGGGAAGCCATCAAGCACAAGAGAAATGAAACCCTTGTTGCTTCTAACCTCATGCCATGGCATCACACCTACCAGAAGTCAGACGTGCTGGGTGAGAGAATGATAGGAGGCAAAGCTCCCCCGGGATGCAGCAGGGCCAGGCATACAAAGAGAGGGGCCCAACCCCGAGGGGTGTGAGGGCGGCTGCACACTCATGATAGACAAGCTCCCTGCTTCTGAAAGCTCCTCTTGGCCTTCACATCAGTGGTGGCCCTGACCAAATTATTCCCCTCCCACACATCAGCTCCCAGGCAGACAGGCTGATTACCAGCCCCCGCCAGCCTTTGTTCCCTGTTTTTGGAGTTGGAGGTGGGAGGTTTGGGGCAGTGAGTTCTTTGCTGCTCTGCATGGCTTCTCTTTGGGAATGCTCTTTGAAGTGGTGTGTTCTCTCCTGTTCTGCCAACCCCCCCCCCCCCCCCCCCCCCCCCCACCGCCTGCTCTTACTCCCAGTGATTGGTGTTTTATCCCAAGCCCTTTTCTGCTGATTCGTTCCTGGGAGCCAGTGGAGAGGGCCTTGGCTCAGGTTTGTTGAGTGAAAGGCAATGTGGATTAGTAAATGGCAGCCTCTTCCATATTAGTTTTGTTGAGCTGCTACTTTTCTCCAGTAAGTCTCTGTAAAATGACCCAGGAGCATGGAAAAGGGAGGAGAGGATAAGGCATTGTGGGAAGGGATATAGACGGGAAGAACTAACATGTCCTATAAAATATTCAATATTTTGCAAAATTCTTTTTCTTTTAATTCACTCACCTACTATCCTCAAACTTTTAATATTCTCATTAGCTTCAGTCCACAGATGAGGGGATTAAGACTCAATGAAATATTATACAAACTCACATTGCAGGGAGAGGGCAGAGATTAGCGGCTAGCCTCAAACCATGTGATTCAAGGACTGAGACTCAAACTTGACCCTGGCAGTAATAGGGAATTCCTGAAGGGAGACACTATGCTTCATGATCTCTGGCTCCTCCGAAGAGCCCAGCACAGTGCCTGCATACCTAAGAAATATTACATGCCTTGAACTCGAAAACAGGAAGAGGCCTTGCATTCATTTACTCATTCAAAAAACATTTGTCAAATTCTTGCTATGAGCCAAATACTCTCCTGGGCGCTGGAGACATAGCAGTGAGCAAATATATTACAGTGAGAGAGACAGAGAATGAATTAAGTAAATTAGTTAGCATGCAGATGGCATGAAGTACTAAGGAAAAGAGAGCAGAGTAATAAAATAGGAAACATGACAAAAGAAGCCTTTACATGTTGGATAAAGAAGGTGACAATCACTGGGAAGGTGATCTGAGCATCGACTTGAAGAAGGTAACTGTCATAGTTAGGGTTTCTATTGCTGTGAAGAGACACCATGATCATGGCAATTCTTATAAAGAAAAACATCTAATTGTGGCAGTTCGTTTACGGTTCAGAGGTTCAGTCCATTATCATCATGGTGGGACATGATGGCATCCAGGCAGACATGGTGCTGGAGAAGGAGCTGAGAGTCCTACATCTTGCAGGCAACAGGAAGTGGTCTGAGTGTCACACTGAGTGAAGCTCGAGCAAAGAAGACCTCAGAGTCCAACCCCACAGTGACACACTTCCTCTAACAAGACTACTCCAACAAGGCCACATCTCCTAATAGTGCCATTCCCTTTGGGGGCCATTTTCTTTCAGACCACCACAGTGAAGAAACAGAGAATGTGGATGTGCCAGAGGACATCCCGGGAAAGGAAAGAGCTACTGGAGTGGTGCTGGGAGAGGTTACAGAGCACCACTTGTCTAAGAGCATCAAGGAGGCTAACATGGCAGGAAGGATTGAAGAAGGAAGAGTAGGCGAAAATAAAGCCAGAGAACAGAGGAGGTCTAGACTGCCCTGAGTAGGAACCGGGGGAAATGGAAGTATGACAGCTCGAACGTATGTTCTAACAGAATACTCAGGATATGTGTGAAGAGTGAACTTCAAAGGGCAAGAGGAGAGGCAGAGAGCCCAGTGAGGAGCCTGCAAGGGGCTGAGCAGGGTACAGTGATGAGTCAGGTCATGGAGCCAGGCAGGAAGTACGATGTGCATCTGTTTTACAGGTAGAAGTGGGGCAGGGGGAGCGGGTTCTGCTGAACTGGATGGGGAAATGAGAGCAAGAAATAAGTCAATGACGATTACATACTCTTAGGTTAATCATTCAAGTTATTAACCTATTGCTAATCAAGTTGTCACGGACTGACTGATAGAGAAACATGTTTTATGGGGAAGGTGGAGGACATCAATTTAGGTCATGGTAAGTTTGTGATGTCTGTTTAATTTTCAAGGGGAAATGTCAAGTATGGAGAAAGAGAAACAAAACAAAACAAAACAAAACAAAAAACAAAAACACCTCAGAGTGTGGTGTCCTGAAACCAAATGATGAAGATGAAGGAGGATTTGACAAATTGCATCCAATATCATTGAATAACATCACTATGGGATTCAGTCACATGATATCTTCACTAGTGGTATCAGTGAAGGAACGGGAGTTACACACTGCTTGGAGGATTCCGGAGAAAGCAGAAGAGAACGCAGAGGTGATGCGTATAGACAAATTAAAATATTTTAATAGAGGAGAAAGAGTGCCATTTGTGTCACTGGGAAAAAAATCTAAATGTATACAGGCAGATCAATATGGAAGGCATAGGGACAGGGAGAATGGGGGAAGGCTGGAGGGGGGTCTTGATTCATCGGTGCCCACCAATCATCCAAACACAGGAGGAGCAGATGCAGACTCAGAGCACAGACAGCTTACCCACAGTGACGGGCACAGGGGTACGCAGGTGAGGGAGCTTGCCTCCGAGTTTCACTTCTCTCTTCTCAGTGTTAGCTGAGAATGAGGAGAAGGGGAGGGGCAAGAGCCATGAGCCGAAGAAGCATGCTGGAGTCTTGTAGGACAGTGTGGGCACGTGAAAGGACGGGGAAACACAGATGGCATGACGGCTCCCTTGAGACCTGGGGGAACACGGGTCTCAGAGCAAGGTCTCCAAGGCAAGTTACGATGCCAATGAGGAAAGGCTGGAACACAGAATTATTTTTTCTTTAAAGACTTGAAATGGAAAATAGTCTTACCTTGTGTGGGTCACATTGCTTGAGGCTCCCACCTTCCTTAAACTCAGTCAACACATCTTTTATTTTCTTGGAGGAATCTGGAAAGACACAATTCAAATGTAAAACACAGGTAAGCGGCTATTGAAACCCAGGCTAGACAAATCCTGCCTAACCACGGTAGGATGGAGCAGCCCCGCAGGACCATGTGGAGACTGTCCTGTTTGCCTCGAATCCTTCCCCTTTCCCAGTGTTCTCTCTCTTTTGCTGTCTGAACCATCTTTCTTTTAAAGACCATTTTTTTTAAAGTGTGTGTGTATGGGGGGGGAGGGGGGGGAGAGAGAGAGAGAGAGAGAGAGAGAGAGAGAGAGAGAGAGAGAGAGAGAGAGAGAGATCCCCTGGAGCTGCAGTTACAGGTGAGGTGGTTGTGAGCCACTTGATGTGGGTGCTGGGAACTGAACAGGTTCTTTTTTTTTTTTTTTTTTTTTTTTTTTGGTTTTTTGAGACAGGGTTTCTCTGTGTAGCTTTGCGCCTTTCCTGGAACTCACTTGGTAGTCCAGGCTGGCCTCGAACTCACAGAGATCCACCTGGCTCTGCCTCCCGAGTGCTGGGATTAAAGGCGTGCGCCACCACCGCCCGGCTCCTGAACAGGTTCTTAACCTCTGCTCCGTCCTCAGAGCTGCCTCCCCAGCCCCTGAACTACCTTTCCCAAATGCCAGTCTGATCAAACCATGTCCATGCTCAGGGGACTTTCGCCCTCACAGAACCGCATTCCCTCTTAGCTTGTGCTCAGCCTTTAGTGATTTGATTTAGCCCGATTCTTTCCAGACTCTCCCAGCTTTCCAGTCACATAAAGTATTTCCAGGATTTCCAAAGACACTGTATATTCTTCCATGGCATTTTTCTCTGCCTTTCCTACTTCTTTCAATTTCTAGTACCCTGTCTACAGCCAGCTCCTTTGTAAAACTTTCCTTTGGGGCAGAGTTATTCCCACCCACGACTCATATATGACTAGCACGCAGCACTCACCATACAGTATTCTATTATTTATTAGCTTGTTTATCTTGATCTTTTTTTTTTGAATTGTGTATTTTTGGAATACATATGTACTTGCTGGATACATTTACTCTTCCTGGTTCCTTTTGACATTCTTCTTTCTCTCAGTGATCCGATTTGGGGGACAGAGAGGTTTTTTTTTTTTTCTTCAAGTAAAAGAAGCAGAAAACTGGGGTGAAAGGATAACTCAGTAGGTGGAGTTGCTTGCCATGAAAGCATGGGTGCCTGGGTGTGACCTCAAGAAGGTAGGTGGCCCCTGAAGAGCAACATCCCAGGTTGATCTTTGGCCACCATACACAGGTGCATCCACACGCATGTCCACCTGCATGAACATACATACACACACCGCCCACCCCACCCCACAGCATAGGAAGGGTGCTCTGATAGACTGGAGTGCTGAAAAAGGACTTTTGGGGGGCTATGGGGGGGCCTCTGGATCAACTGAGGAGGTCAGAGGTGCTATAACTGCTGCTGTGTCTTTATCAAACCAAGATCAGACATAAAACACATTCTAAACGTCTTTACGAATGTGTAACCAGCTGAGTGGAATTTATTGCTTTTTATTTTGAGACAGGCTCTCGTGTACCCCAGGCTTGTTTCTAACTCACTACACAGCCGAGGATGACTTGAACTCCACCTCCCGAGTGCTGGGCTTCCAAACTTGTGCCACCATCTTGGCTTGTGGGTAGAAAGTTCAAAATGTTAAAAAACTTGTTAGCACTCAGGAAGGCGAGGCAGGATGCTCAGGAATCAAGCTAGCCTTGGCAACATAGTGAGTTTGAAGCAGTCTGGAATATATGAGACGTTATCTCAAAATTTGCACCAAATCAAGCAAAATCTTGAGCTGGCTATGGTAGTGTACACCTGTAATTTCAGGACTTGGGAGGCTGAGGCAGGAGAATTGAGTCTCAGGCCAGCTTGGGCTGCCCTCAGAGACTCATGTCAAATAGACAGACAGACAGACCCCTCCTTTAAAACAACAACAAAGCAAACAAAAACCCAGCAAGAAGGCCGTTTCTTTCATTATACCCAGTGAGAAGTGCCGGCGAGGTTCTGCCCTTGGTGCTGAAACATAGTACTGTGAGAGGTAGTTTTTTCCTCAGCTCTGGGATCCTGACTTCTTTATCTCCTTGTCCTTAATTTTTATTTTCCATCTTGATGGAAAGAATTGAGTTGTGTATCCTGACACAAAAAAATTAACCTCAATTATGTCTTGCAATTAACCTGGCTGATTTGATAGTCTATGTCTGCTCTGTTGTATTTCTGACAGTGGGGACTTGCCCTGGAAGTTGCTCTCCGACTGCTGCATTTCCCCCTCGCTGCTGGTGACATTTACACTGGAAGGAAGTAGTTATTTAGGGGATTCAGGAAGCACAGTGACTTAAAGATTGTGCTACCTATAGAGAATAATCCAGAAGGGGCTGGAGAGATGGTTCAACACTTAAGAATGCTGGCCACATGCAGGCAAAATGCTCCCACACATGAAATAAAAATCAATCTCAAAAAATATTCAGAAACACAAGGAAAACACTGTTTGCTGCTTTGTGAGAACTGAGAACAGAAAGAATTAGTAATTGTCATAGAAATGCGTCAGGTGTGCATGTGTGATTCAGCACAGTAGACCAAGAAGGAAACCTGTGTTTCTATGACCTGTGCTTCCCCTGCCTCCAGGAATTGTGGGTAATTAAAAGCTTCTTCAAGCTTCATTATTGTTTCTATTTAAACATCTGAGTGAAGGATCCTTCACGGGCTGGGCTATTCTCTGTGGTTTTGCTGACTAGGAGTCTATCAAGCAGAAGTTATAATCATTGCAGGATTGAGGCATTTTGAAATGCTACATGAAAATGCTGCTGTTGCCTAAAAATGGAAATTTCTTTCTGAAACTCAAAACAGATGTTGAAAAGCTAATAGCTCAGTGAGCTCAAGGCAGCAGATGCCAACAATTTGGGTTGCTTCCATTCAGTTCAGAAAGCACTGTGGGTAGTAAGATGTCACAAGGTGCTGTTGAAAGCATGGTGGGGGAAAGGGTTGAGTAGTGTGGTGATGTGAACTGCCCCTTGTTGAGGACATTTACCTGTGAATTCTCATAAACTCTCTTCTAGTAATTTCGCACAAACACTAGATGATTTTTTCAGTCTACAAATGAAGTTAAATTTCATAAAAATGAAATGACTTTCCTAAGAGCAAGAGTTTTCAGGTTTGGTCTGGATCAAAAGTCTGTGCTCTTTCCCTCCAGTCTTTTTCACTATCACTGAGCAAATATTTGTGAGCACAAGGGACAGTGTGATCACTGTGGTAGCAGTGGTGGCACCGATGGGCAAGAAAGAAAGACAAGATGAGACTGAGGTCCAAGTGGGGGCTGGTTCCGAGCTACCCTGGGGTCTGTGGAACCTGAGTTGGGTTTTTAAAGGCAGATATGAAGTTGAAGGACTGACTCTTCTCAGAGGGGACAGAGTGAGCCAAGATGGAGGGCTCTCCTAGAGCACCTAGAAAAAGTTAGAACCGGAGAGTAGATTGGGGGTAGGCCTACAGGGTTCTTGAGTGCCAACAGAAGCTCATTGGTTCAAACTTGTTATAGATGTTTTAAATGGTGGAGTAACCAGCCAGGACTTTCCTTCTTCTTCTTTTTCCCCTTTTCTTGTATGAGTTCTCTGTCTGCATGTATGCCTGCATACCAGAAGAGGGCATCAGATCTCATTACAGATGGTTGTGAGCCACCCTATGGTTGCTCAGAATTGAACTCAGGACCTCTGGAAGAGCAGCCAGTGCTCTTAACCACTGAGCCACCTCTCCAGCCCCTAGGACTTTGCTTCCTAAGGACCACACTCGAAACTGAAGGGAAGAGTGCTGAGAAGTAGGCCGGAGCTCAGTTACTCTCACATGTATGTCTTAATTACCCTATAGCAGTTGTATCACCTGAGGAAATTCTATATTTTGTGATCAGTTTTAGTGGCATGCTTTTTGGCTCAGCTAAAGTGCCCAGGCCTAAACAATACGAATCTGAGATGTGGGTACTCTAGTGTGCCTTCTGGAAGGGCAATATAAAGTCAGTATTTTGATTAGGAATCAAGGGTTAATTTCAATGGAATTCATACTCTTTGATATTATTCCCACAGTTTACAAATGCCCAAATTCACCCTAGCAGAAATATTTTGATCTCAAGTGTTATGGTTCTATTTCTAAAACCTGTTGTAAACTTGAGTGTGATACATACATACATGCACACTTACCAATTTTCACACTTAGCAAGATGTGAAACTTAAAAAACAAGTCATCTAAGATATTCAATAAATACCTAAAATTAAAGAAAAATAAACTTCTCCAACAGCCCAAAGTGTTTCTGACTAATTTCCCATCAGAGCATTCCTCCTCACAAATGGTTCCACTTTGTCTCGTGGGGGCTTGTTTTAGTTGGCTTGCTAACTGTGGTAAAGACCATGACCAACAGCAACTTGAAGAGGAAAGGGTTTATTATTTGCCTTACAGATCCAGATCAGTCATACTCTATCACTAAAGGAAGTCAGGGTCAGACCTCAGGGTGGGAATCTGGAGGCAGGAACTGAAGCAGAGGCCACGAAGGAATGCTGCCCACTGTCTTGCTCGGTTTGCTTTCTTATACCAGCCCAGGGGTGGCACCATCCACAGCAGGCTGGGCCCTGTCACATCAATAATTAATCAAGTCTGCCCCACACATTTGTCTATAAGCCAACCTGATGGAGACATTTTTCTCAGTTGAGGTTCCCTCTTTGCCGATGACCCAGCTTGTATCAAGTTGACATAAAATTAGCCAGGGCAACAACACTTCTTAAAACTGGAAACAACCCAATCCCAAATGTGGGGGAACAATCCTCTCTCTTGGCATTCTCTGACACTTTCTGGCTGTTTCTTCTCAGGAGATTTCTCTTTCCGAGAGGAAGGAGTGGTTACAATGAGAGGCTCCTTTGAAAGAACCCCCATCTTATTTCAGCCATTATTGTGGGCAAAACAGTGTAACCTCAGCAGAGAACTCCCTTGTCAAATCCTGTGTCATGGTGCCACCACAGAC